GTTTAGGGTGTAGGGTTTAGGGGTTGTGATTTTTGATAGATCTTTACGGCGTGATTATTGGGTTTTTGATGTTTTTAAGATAGGGGTTTACAGTGTGATCATTGGATCGTGATGGGGTTGTAATATAGGGGCTTAAATGGGAGTTTCCGAAAATTAGGGGTACCTCATTTCTTATACTAAGGATCCTACCATTTTGGGTGCTATATTAGGGTCCCCTATTTTCGGACACTCCCAAATAAGTGCCTATACAATTTTTGGGGTCCTTTATTTTATTGCATTTATAGTAGCGGTTCAGGGTTCCGGTTTCGGGTTTGTTTGTTTTAGCCCCGTTGTGAGCTCTAAACTGAAACCAAGAACCCTAAATCCTAAACCCTACCTGGACTCTAGGAAACCCATCTTTTCAGGGTTCCTTAATACGATTTCCTTTTATAAGTCTTACAAAAGCGAGCTCGGCCTCATGGTAGCTCTCATTTCCAGCACGTGCAAGCCCACGTTGCTTCGCTGTGCTCACATATGTGCGTGTCACTATGGCCTTTATGTCGTACGTGCTGATCGAACCACTCGTGTGCTCCTACATCAAGGCGCCCGGTGGCATGTTGAGGAGCCCAACTGCCCAGACCCCCAAGGAGCATCCAGAAAGTAGATCCCTTAGGTTGGGGCCCTATACTACTAAGGGCACTTTATAGGAACCCCCATTAAGGGATCTACTTTTTGGATCCTCCCGGGGGTCTGGGTGTGAGATACGAGCTCTGGGCTGGGCCCTTCTGGCATTTCCTGATGAACGATGAACCCAGAGACTCCAATACCCCTTAATTAAGGAATAGACCTTAACTTATCTTATAGTAGGATCCCTAGTATGATTTAAGGAATATTCCTTAGGTAAGGGGTATTGGAGTCTCTGGGAACCTTGGGAGTCTAGGGAGCCCTGGTTTTTGGACGAGGGACGTTCCTTTGCGTTGGTACCTTTTTGGAGCTGAGTCCTTTATGGCAAGCTTTTTTCGGCGGCCAGCCAGTGCTGTCCTAAACCCTAAACCCTAAAACCGTAGGGTTTAGGGGTTTAGGGTTTGTTTGACTTGTCCATGGCCAGAGATGCTCCCAGCTTCTCTCCTGCGACAGCAGACATCCGCGTGCCAGTTTCTTTCAGCGCACGCCACCTCAGACCCTAACCCTACGAGTTTTGCGCTGAGGGTTTAGGTTTAGGGTTGGTCTACTTGGGGAAATGGGTTTTCTGCTCACCTTCCCAAGGAGTTAGAAGACATTTCACTGTGTACGCAAAGGCCGGGCGGAGCATGGTCGATCTTACAAATAGATTTACGAAGAAATGTATAAGAGATTTGAATGAGCAGTTTCTGAGAGCCGGGTTGTCCTGTCAGGGGTCCCCTAACACAGATTAGGCATATCGGTTTACCTACCTTCTTTAAAAGGGGTTCCTGCTCAAGGATTACGGTTTACGACCCTGTCAATTCTCCTAAACAGGACATCTCTGTCTGAGGAGAAAGGTTTAGAACTCTTGGGGTTCTACGGTAATGGGATTTGCCCTCAACCTTAAACCCTAAGCCTGAGCCCTAAGCTCCAAAACTGCACAAATCCTAGACTCTGACCGTACACACTGAAGGAAACCTTCTATGAATTGGTGAAGCCCTAGCCAAGGACCCTACAACGCCCGATTAAAACCTTATTATTATAAGAACCTTGTAAAATCCTACAAAGCTTTATATCAACACTTTGAAACCTCAACAATCCCTTAAGCCCCGCGGGGAACTCAGAAAGTTTCGGCTGTTGCCAGGGTGGCGAGGAGTTGCCTGGATGCACAGACTTCTTCTTCTTCTTATCACGAAGGTTAGAATCTTATGATTACTACTATTCTGAGTGTTATTCATATTTGTCCTATTGCTCTGTATTCACTGTCATTATAAGCTTTAGGAGTTTATGAGGTTTGGACAGGTTTAACAAGATCACGTTTTGTGTACATATACATATCTACACACACACACATATGTATAGATATATGCATATACATATGTATTTATAGGCTTTTGATACGGGTTGAAGGGCTTCAAACCAGTTCGTAGGCTTTTGTTCAGGACTTTTTAAATAAAGTTTAGGGCTATGTGGCTCCCAGTGGTGTGTGTTTCCTATGTTTGGCGGTTCGGAGTGGAGGTTAGAGCACAGTTCGGTGCTTCGCATCCGTTTCGGTTTGGGTTTTGGGCCCTTCTTCAAGTTCCAGACCCCCGGGAGGATCCAAAAAGTAGATCCCTTAAAGGCGGTTCCTATACAGTACCCTTAGTAGTATAGGGCCCCATATTAGGGGATCGACTTTCTAGATCCTCCCGGAAGTCTAGGTTAGAACAGTACGCAATAGGTATGGCCCCAACCCACCAACTGGCGACGGCTGTTTCCTCCAACCATAGGCCTCTAAACCAGCCTTGTCCTTTTTCATGGTTCCCCCAAAAGAGTAAACAGACCGGCTAGTAGACCTTCTTAAGTGATTCCTACTAAGGGATATAGGTATAGGGCCATGTCTATTATTTCTAAAAGGACAAGGGTGCCCCCAAACTGGGGATCCGCTTTTACAGGCGGCTAGCGACTGGAAGGTCAAGGTTTAGGGTTTAGGGTTTAGGGTTTACGGTTTAGGGTTTAGGGTTCAGCAGCTCCGGATCGAGCAGTTTTATAGTAGAGTTGTATTTACGGTTTCGATATAACACCCACCCACCCTAGAACCCCATAACATTAAGCAATATAAAGTTCCTTCATCATCATTCAAACAGTTCTACCTACAACTTAGCCTGTCACACTTTTATGTCGCCCTCCCACACCATTAGGAAAATACAACGGTTCCTTTTCCTCACACAGCTGATTTATTTTTTAAAGATTGTCTGGTCTGTACCAAGGTCAAGCCTTAACGGACCAAGGTCAAGTGGGCTTGGGACAGCGGTCCTGGGGCGTCCCGCAAGGGGCCCGAGACAGTTGTCCCAGGAAGCCTCGGGACACCCCGGGACGCCCCGGGCCAGTCGTCCCTAGGGCCGAAGTTTAGGGTTTAGGGTTGCCGGAACTCCGGAGCCAAGCACTTGTAAAGATGAACCATATGTTCCTTAAGCCATAAGTTCCATAAGTTAGGGTTTAGGGCCTGAGTTTAGGGTTTATGGTTCCGGCACTTGTAAACATGAACCTTGGGTACTGCCCCCACTCAGTAACAGTTGGATAGTATTCATAATCTAGATTAATTCGGACCTTGTCTGGGGGCAATACCTAACCTAAGCCCTAAACCCTAAACCCTACACCCTATAAACACCAAAACCCTAAAACAAAAAACACCGTATGGGGGCAGTACCCAACATAAACCCTACGTTCCTTAAACCATAAGTTCCACGAGTCCCTCGTGCCCCGAAGCGCACCCTCAGCCCCTACACCGAAAAAGCGCTAAGCATAAACCATCCGTAGGCAACCCCAAAAATGGGAACTTCCGAAAATGAGGGACCCTAATATAGTATATACCCTGAAGAGTAGGATCCTGATTATAATTCCCTAAACCCCTATAGAACCCTTTACAGGAACCCTCACAGTACCCCTATAGTAGCCCTTTTCAAGGAAGCCTTGAGATAAGGACACCAAACTGAGGTAGCCCTTGTCTAGCTGTTTTCGAGGGTCGGGTCTGCCGAGGCTGGCGAAGGAGTGGTCGCAGAAGAAGCCTCTTGGATACATCTCTGTAGGGTTTAGGGTACATTGCGCTTAAGGGTGTGTTTTGGAAGCTGTTGTTTGAGGCGGTTGTTTTTTTCTAGAACTCGTTCATTGTTTTTGCCTTATGTGGGTTGTGTTTTTGTTTAAAGTTCCCAAGCTCGGTTGATTGTTTATCTTTCCAAGGGTAAAAGGAGGGACCCCTAATAAGGACCCCTAGGTACATACACTTAATATAGCTATTGTATACCCATTATATGGTCCATCACAGGGTAGGGGTCCCCATTAAGGGTCCCTCCTTTACCCCTTTGATATAGGGTTACTCTAATCGTAGATCTCTAAATTAGGGTCCCTGCTTAAAGTTTAGCCAAAATAGTACGGCACCCTTATAAAAGGATCCCAAACAGGACCCTCCCTAAACCCTAAACCCTTTTCGGCCGCCGGATTATGAATTGTTGATTCCATTTCACGGTTAGAGGGCTTGGACTCGAGGCCCTAAACCCTGAAGCCTTAGGTTGAAGGTTTTTTAGGGGTTCAGTTGTTTCAGGGTTTAGACTTTGGCGCTTCGGGATATGCAGAGGGTTTAAGGTTTAGGGTTTCGGGTTTAAGGTTTAGGGTGCAAGGTTCTGGATTTGGGATCAGTGTTTGGGCTTTAGGGTTGGAGGGTTTGAGGTTTAGCGGTTCGGATTTCAGGGCTTAGGATGAAGGGGTTTTGGTGACGTGTCAGGGGGCTTTGCAGGGTTGTTTGGTTGGGGTTTGTAAGAAACTTAAAGATTCTTGCAGCGGTTTCTTAGGCGTATTATGATCTGCCTCGAGATGACGTTTTTTTTGAACAGCTGGGTGTTGTCTTTACAACCTGTTTAAGTAGTCAGTGTGCTTGTGTATGTTCCGTTTAGACAGCTTGTGATGAACCTGAGCCTTCAGCTACTTGGAGGTTCAGGGGACTAAGTAAGTAGGGTTTTGAGCAAGGTAGCGAAAGTCAAATCTACGTAGAACCCGAGTTAAAGTACTTATACCCCTACTTTCCAAGTCCCCCAAACCCCAAGCCTCCAAACCCGTGTAACCTTGAAACCCCTGACGTTTAGACTCTGCCCCAAAAAGAAGCACTGACAAGCGCTTGGGTGCTCCGGCTCGAAGAGAAAGGAAAGTCTTTGTGCAGCTCCACCCTGTAGTTAACACCAGAATGTTGGAATATGGATGTGGGATGAGTAAGTGAGTAAGTAGTGCTGGGATTCCCCAAGCTTTCCCCTAATTGCGCGAGGATAGTGTAAGTGAGCAAAGATTAAGTTCCGAATGAAGAACGGAGTAAAGTCTAGATAAGGTTCATGGGCAGCAATACACAGGGTCACAGGCAAGTTGCCAACATTTATGAATCCAATCAACAAACTGGTCTCCATGCTTACAACCACGGACAGCCAAGCAGCCCTGAAGGCGCGCGCCCCCAAGTCCTAAACCTCAAACTCCGAAAGCTTAAAACCCTACACCCTCTGCGCGGTCTCCAGGATCAAGGCCTACAGATCCCGAACACAAGGCCGTTGCATTCTAATCGGACGCCGAAGGCCGAGCGCCCGTGCCGGTACATCCGGCGTGGGGACGAGGATTTAGCGGTGGTGGCTTTGCACGCCACCTGTGGAAGCTTCTGGATGTGCCGTCGCTGCAGGATCGGCAGGACGAAGCATAACGGCTCTTGCGGTTTCGAAGCGCGCGTTCAGGACGTCAGCCGGGTCATGCTGATCGTCGCAGGCGGCTGCTCAGATGTGGTCGCAGGAAAGGAAAAGAAAAACCGAAATCTCGAGCTGAGCACAAAGTTCCTTCAAAACTCCGGAAGATTGCAGAATCAAGCACTGACTCGCGTCGCATGCCAAACGCTGAAGGCAACGACTGCACCAGCTCGCAAGTGAAGGCCGAAGACCTCCAGCACGAGATCGAGTACATGAAGGAGGCCTCGACTTCTCACCTCGGGAGATTGTGGTTCTAATTGCGCCAAGGCATACGACCGGCATGGCATTCACGTCTGCATCGTGGACGCGATGCCCCTGAGCTTCCTGCAGGTGGGTTAATCCGTAAGCGCTCTGCAGTATCGGCCGCATCCGACAAGGACGACGATGCTGCAGCAGCCTCGGCACGAGGCTCGGTCTTCCTCGCAGAACTCGAACGGTCGACTTGTCTCAGGCCCCAGCTGCTATGTGAGCGCGGGGCAGTGATGCAGCATCTTCCTATGCGTATGGATTGAAAATGAGCCGACCTGCAGCTGCTCGGGGAAAGCATGTGCGACTGAGAAGCCGATAGGACGCGTCGTGTAGCGAATTCTTCGCATCCAATTCCGACGGAAGCTAGCGATGCCAATGCCCAACGCAGCCTTTGATTTAAGCAACTAACCTGCGGGCAAGGCAAATTCTGCGTGTTGGCCCCAGCTTCGATTGCACTTTCCTGCTCTGTAGTTGTGCAACACAGCCATGCGCGCCAGGTGAGTTCCTTAGCCGCTGCTCCATGCTCAGCGAGAGAATTCCGCAAATATTGCTATATTTCCAGCAAGATTACACCTTAAGCTCGGATTTGTCGCTCGGTCAAGGTCACCATGCCGTCGTGTCCGTCCTGCCGATCCGTGCACTGCACGATCGTTCTAGCCCGAGCGATGTGTCGAAGCTTTCAGTCGGAGCGTCATTCGTCTCAAGCCGAGGTGGGCCTCTACGGTGTCAAGCTTACAGGTCCTTGCCCTATTTGCTTGGAGGCACGATCATCAAGAGACGGGCAGTTCCTGTGCTGCGCTCGCCTCGCTTGTGAAGAGGAGGCAGACGAGAATGCTTGCGCATTTGCGCCCTGCTGACATACGGTCTGCGAAGGATGCGCCGCGCAGATCGAACGTCGTGGGAGACTCGAAGAAAAGGCACCTTCGTCATCTAAGACTCTATGCGATGCTGAGGCTCCACGACTCCCTCGAGCACGGCCCTGCCTATGACCTTCGGCTGCTGCCCTAGACCTGACACAGACCCTTGTCGCTGACCTTTAAATAGACAGCGAAGGATCCACGGAACCTCCTTGGACGACGAACGGCGCGCCGACGGCCGTGGTGGTGCGTTTCGATCTTACCCAGAGAGATGGACAGACGGTCTGCTCCTTCAGAATCGCCCAGGCGAAGATCGCCCTTTCTCGTGGCTGGGCCAAGAAGTGTGGAGCTACCACCCCAACATCCATGAGGTGCGGATGAAAAAAAAAACGAACCGGCCAAGATCGATAGTACATCAGAATAGAATCCAAATCCCATATCTTCGTGCACAGGTCGTACTACAGCTGACGGAGACGATCCGGCTTTTGCCAACTCGGCAGCTCTACAGTGTCCCCGCCGCCGACGGGGCACGTCAGCACGTGGCGCAGGCCCTCTAACTCGACGAATCGTCGCTGGGCTCTGCAGCCGGTGGGAGAGTGACCGCAGCTGCCAGGAAAAGAAGGCGAGGGAAGGCAGTTTCGTGCGAGACATGCTGGGAGCGCTTGCCACGTTCGTGTTAATTTATTGCAGCGCTTTTAAAGCCCTTGTATACCCCCAAACCCTAAAGCCCTAAACCCTAAACCCTAAACCCCTAAACTCTAAACCCATAAAGCCCTAAAGCCCTAAACCCTAAACCCTTAAACCCCTAAACCCTCCCTTATATCCTCTCGCACGAAGGAAAGCCTGGTGCAGCTCGGCCACCTTTTAGGGTTTAGGGTTTAGGGTTTAGGGTTCAGGGTTCAGGGTTCAGGGTTTAGGGTTTAGGGTTATTCAGCTGGTAAGAGTTCCTGTCGAAATAGGAAACTTAGTAGTTAGAATAGGGGTTCCTTTACAGGGTTCCTTGCAAAGGGATACTATAAGGGGTACTATAGAGGCTTAGTTTAGGGGACTTAGTAAAAAGAATAGGGTTTTGGGGTTCCTGGAAAACGGTGTTTAAACGGGCTTATAATGAGGATTTTTTCAGAGTTTCCTTGGCGTTGTTCTGGCTGGATCTTAGGACTTTAATTTTTTGGTTTTCTATATGATTTATAATAATAAGGAGGCTAAACAGTTATTCAAGGTTCTTTCGAAGCTTAAGATGTTTTTGCCATAGGATTTTTACGTGTTTTCTGGTTTAAGGTGTTCCGTAATGGATGTTAGCAATTTGATACATATGTACGCCAATGTACACATCGTTTCTTGTTTGCCATGTTTACGGCTTTTGTTTTGAGTCTGTGTCGTAACCAACCCCTAATACCCTAAAGTCCTCATCCTCCCAATCCCTATACCCTCACGCTTTCTCATGTGCGCTCGACAGACACAGAGTCGGAGGCCAACATCACGCAGCTTTTCACGGCAGCCGTCGAGCTCGCCAGAACCTGTTGTGACTTGCACCTGCAAGCACAGGCAGCTGCACAAGGACTATGCGAAGGGGATCGGGCATCGACTCTCAGCACGACCTTGTGACGACTATCACCACATGCGGCGCGCATCGTACACATTCTCGAAGTTGCTCGGGGCCCAACCTTCAGTGCAGCACGGAGCTCAAGAAGCCTGCACGTAAGTGTGATATGATGTAGCACTCACTGCCATCACTGATAATTCAATCCCGCATGTTGTGGATTGAAGGGTTTTCGGACTTCAGGCTCAAGGCTTAGGGGCCTTAAGGTTTCGGGTGCCAGAGTTCGGGATTAAAGCTTTGACGTTCAGAGTTTTTTGCTTGCACGACCTGCCGAATGGTACTGGTTTTACTTGCTTTGGCTCGGCATGCGAGCTGGCCCTACACCCTTTTCAAACCTCTGCCTAAACCCTGGCAAAACCTGAAAACCCTCGCAAAGCCTAATTGGCCGAATGGTATTCTTAAGTGGCGAGATCCCAACTTCCCCCGTTACTCCCCAAGCTTCAACTAAGGCTCCCTCATCATGCCCGGCACCCTCCGCCCTGAACCCCGCACCAAACGGCACCACAAACCCTAAGCCCCAAATTCTAGGCTCTCTGCCTTGTTCGCCGCCCCAGCCTCGAACGCGAAGCGGTATGCCCCAATCGCCAAACCCGTAGACCCTAAACTTAAGATCCTAAAGCCGTAAAGCCCCGTTCTGCAAACTCCCAGAAGCTTCTAAACTCGCCTTACGAACATTTGGCGCACCATTTAAGCCTGTGTTGAGTCTTGGAAAAACCATTCGACTTGGCCCAAAATCGTAAAACCCAGCAACTAAACCCTAAAAGCCTAAAGCCCTAAACCCAAAGCCCTCAAAGCCTAAGTTGTGAAACCCTTTAACCCTAACCCTAGTCCCTACGGTATTTCTTACACCATAAGCCCTCACAGACTTCTTGAAGAAGAGACCCCATTTTTTGCTTTCAAACCCTATAAAACCCTAAGCCATCAAAGGCTTCTTGAAGAAGGCCCATGCCGACCTTCGTACCAAGGCGACCCAGAAACAAACAAGGACTTGTGGCGTTTGGGGAGTCGCGTTGAAGGTTTTGTGGTATAGGGTTTTATAGGGTTTTATCGGGTTTAGGGTTAGGCAGTAGGCTTTAGGGGTTTAGATTGGGTTTTTGTCATCTTGGGTTTGGCGCTTTGGTTTGGGGTTTGTGGTGTGGCATTTCGGGTTTGAGTTAGGGTTTTGGAAGTGTTGCACCACGGCGAAGCCTTAAACCCCAAATCCAAAGCCACCTTAAAACTTCGGGGGTGTGTTGAGGTAATTATTATTATACGGACCCTATACTAAACTAAACTCTTGTAGTACCCTTATAGGATCCCTTAAGGAACCCCTTCAAAGGAACAGTGTTTTTTTTTTTCAGTTTTCCTGTCTTGTGTGGGGATCTCAGTCTTGCTTTATGTGAGGGTCCACAGGGTCCACTCAAAGAACTTAGGGTTTAGGGTTTAGGGCTCACGCCCTGCGACTATTCCGGCCCCGAATGCGGGAAACCTTTGAAGATCACCTTTGAATCGGATGAGGCCCAGAGACTCCAATACCCCTTAATTACGGAATATACCTATTGTCGGATCCTTAATATGATTTAAGGTATATTCCTTAATTAAGGGGTATTGGAGTCTGAGGAGATGTGAAACCCTAAAACCGAAACCCGAAAACCTGAACCCGAAACTGTGTACTGCAATTCTGGGCCAGAGCCAACACCCAGAAAGCAGCAGCTAAGCCCGTCCTTAAAGGATCATGGGACTTAGTAACTAGGGTTGTTATTGGGGTAGCTATACTTATATTTACTTATAACCCAATTAAGGGACTTATAGCTATAGTTACCAAGTCCCAGGATCCTCCAAGTACCGCCTAAGCTGTAAACCCGCGGAACCAAAGATCCAAAGTGCTAGGTCCAAACCCTAAACCCTAAACCCTAATCCCTAAACCCTAAACCCCTAAACCCTAAACCCCTAAACCCCTAAACCCCTAAACCCCTAAACCCCTAAGCCCTAAACCCCTAAACCCTAAACCCCTAAGCCCTAAACCGCTAAACCCCAAAACCCTATAAACCCCTAAACCCTAAACCCCTAAGCCCTAAACCCCTAAACCCCTAAACCCCTAAACCCTAAACCCCTAAACCCTAAACCCCTAAGCCCTAAACCCCTAAACCCCAAAACCCTATAAACCTCTAAACCCTAAACCCCTAAGCCCGATTCCCCTAAACCCCTAAAGCCCTCGATCCAAAACCCCGGGGCCGCCCCGTAGCTTTCTGTTTCAAGCTTTAGGGCTTTAGTGGTTGTAGGGGTTGCAGGGGTTTTGGTTTCGCGGTTTAGGGGTTAGGGGTTAGGGTCTGGGTTTTAGGTTTTGGTTTTTGAGGTTTAGAGGTTCAGGGTTTGGTTTGGTGCTTTAGGGCTTCAGGGGTTGTATGGTTTTAGTGGCTTTAGGGGGTTGAGGGGTTCAGGGCTTTAGGGCTGTTAAGGGTCCAGGGGTTTAGGATCTTAGGGAGTTGAGGGGTTTGGGGGTTTGAGGGGTTTAGGGAGTTGAAGGGTTTAGGGTGTTTCGAGTTACTGGGGTTTAGGGTTTGGGGTTTAGAGTGTAGAGTAGCCTTATAACCTGGCCAGCTCTGCAGACCGGACATGGTGTGCATCCCGTCGGCTTGGTGCAAGGAATACTGCAAATCCTATCTGGCCCCGGGACTCCATGTTGCGCACTGCAGTCCCGACCACACAGCTGCAGTTCTCGAGGTTGCTTTTCACTCTGCCACCGGTATGCTCGGAGCCGCCCCACGCCAACGTCGCTTCCCGGTCAGCCTCTTCAGTGAGCCCACCAATCAAGCCAAAATTGGTGTGGCCTTGCGGAGCTTTCAGCCCCTCCCCTGGGATTGTTCAGTGCATGCCCACGCAGCACATCTGGTTAGCTACGTGCAGCAGACCTTGGGATCGGTCAAATCCCACCGCTCTGCGGGACCCCACCAGTCCTATCTGCGCCCAGCCACTTGGCAGCTCCAACGAACTGTGGCTGCTACTCGCCGGTCCCTTCACCGTCTCCAGCGCCAGGTTCATATGCAGCTCATGGCGGTCTGTTTCCACCTGTGGCGTGGCGCTAATCTGCTCTCTTCCCTCGTGGAAGGGGCCACCTGGTGGCGCCGTGCGGACCTTGCCTTGGCAGCCCACCTCAGTGTCTTGCGCCACCAAGGACGCCATTTAAAGCCAGCTTGTAAGCAGGACCGCAACTTTCATTTAAGTCAGCTTGCGGACCAGCTCTCATCTCGTCCGACCTCAGAGGTTTTCAGCAACCTGCATAGGCTTCTTTCCCATAAGCGCAAGAAACCTTATCGTGCAGACCCCCTCCCCTCTATTCGCGATGCGGAGGGAAAAGTATGCCCCGATTCGGATTCCAGCCTCAGGCGCTGGCGCCAACACTTTGGGGGTTTGGAAGGCGGCCGTGAGGTAGCCCTTGAGCACTTTCTCACTGAGACCCAGAACCGCATCAACCAGAGTGCCACAGCCGTTGTTGCATGGCCGGCTCCTCCAGACATCCGTCTCCTGCCCACATGCGCGGACATTCGTCGCCTCCTTATGCGGGCGAAGCCGGGCAAAAGCCCGGGGATGGACGGGATACCCAATGAGTTCGGACGTATCTTTGCTGAGGTTCTGTCCCCTCACCTGCACCATCTTGCCTTGAAAACCTCATGGCGAGGTTCCGAAGCCCTGGGCTACAAGGCAGGTCAGGCTATTTGGCTTTACAAAGGCAAAGGCAGCTTCCAGGAATGCACTTCCTACCGGTCCATCCTCCTCCTCCCTGTATGGTCCAAGATTGTCCATCAGGCCCTGCGACCGCCAACGAAGAGTTTCTTTGAACACCAGGCTCCCAGTTTGCAGCTCGGGGGTAAGTCCCAATGTACTGTTATGTTTGGCAGCCAGCTCATCCGGGGTATTAGCAGGGTTGCAACAGCGGCCAGCAAGACCCAATTCACACTCTTTGCTGACATCGCCTCTGCTTTTTACTGCGTGATCCAACGTCTGGTGGCTAATACTGCGGCCACCCCTGATGGGTTTGATCCGGGGACGTTCCTCGACAGCCTCCAGCTATCCCCTGATGAGCGTGAGGCTTTGGCGGAACATTTGGCTGAACCATCAGCCCTAGCCGGTGGGGGTGCTTCCCCCTGGCTGGAAGCCCTCACCTGCCGCCTGCAAGAGGGCAACTATTTCCTCCTCAAGGGTGATACTACTGTGATCGCCACGGCTAAGGGCTCCCGCCCCGGCTCGTCTTGGGCGGATCTCATTTTCGCAGCCCTCATCAAGCGCATTCTGCTCCGACGCAATGAGCTTCGAGCCGAGTGTGCACAGGTTTCCCGTCCACCTTCTTTTCCATGGGATGGCATGCGTACATTTCAGGCATGCGATGACTGCTCCGACCACATTGAGATATCTGAAGTGGTGTGGGCGGATGATATCGCTATCCCGCGGCTCACGCAACCGCATCAGGCGGCGTGTGCCCTGGGGCTAGAAGCAAGCTGCCTCTCTGATGCTTTGAGGGAATTCGGCTTCACTCTTTCTTTTGCGCCTAACAAAACAGCCGCCGTTTTGGCTTTGTCCGGGGCAGGGAGCCGTCGAGCCAAACAAGCTGTGTTTAGTTCATCAGGCCTGAGAGGCCACATCCCTGTCGTTTGCGATTCAGGTCCAGGAGTCCTCCTGCCGGTGGTTACCTCCTACCGCCACCTGGGCAGCCAACAAACCCCCGGAGGCGGTTTGCGAGCTGAGATTGCCTACCGCATATCACAAGCACGTGCTGCCTTCGCGGAAGGCCGCAGGAAAGTCTACCGTAATCCCGCCATCAGTCTCATGCGCAAAGCCTTCATTCTTCGTTCGTCTGTCCTTCCGAAGCTCTTCTTCGGTGCGGGCTCGTGGGGGCCAGTTACTCAAGGTGAGCGACGCTCCATCTCCGGGGCCTTGTGGAGCTTTTATCGCAGCCTCCTCGGTATAGGCAAGATGGAAGACCAGCACCTGGATGCTCACACCTGCTTCGCTTTACTGCAGATGCCCAGTCCTAGTACCGCTCTCCGTTTTCAGCGGTTGCTGTACATTTCGCAACTGCTGGCTGCTGGCCCGCCGGAGCTCTGGGCCTGCCTGAGGGCGGATAGGGACCATGCGGAGCTCCTTTCCGCGGACCTCCAATGGCTCCATTCCTACACCTGGCGAACCACTGGACTGCCCTGTCCTCGCCAGGTTGGGCCAGTTGCCGCATTTTTATCTCTCAGACCCCAGGTAAATATAAAGGCGCTGTGAAGCGGGCTCAGGCTCTTGATGTGCATAGGCACACTGTCCTAGCTGCCCTATCCGGCCTTCACCGTGCCCTTCTCCTCGTTTGCAGCCCGGCCGCTGAGGTTTCTGTCGCGCCTCCTCCCCGACCACATTATGCAGAGGTCTGCATAGTCTGCCGACGAGCTTTTCACAGCCGTCTCGCATGGGCTGGTCACAGTGCCCGTAAGCACGGCTACCGCTCACATGCACATCTCTGTGCGACAGGCACTACCTGTTGCGCCTGTGGTCGAAGCTACTCTAGCCTTGGTAGACTTCGTCGGCATTTGGTGTCCAGCTCCCAATGCGTTCTTAACTGGGGCCGTTTTGTTCCCGATTGCATTGACCGGAGCGACCCTCCACACCCCTTGGCGTATCCAGCTGCAGTGCCTGGCTGCTATCAGCTTGAGTTTGAGCCAAGCATTCGACTTGATGTTGTTGCCGGGCTCCTCGCTGATTTGAATGCTATCTCTCCGATCAGCGAGGATGAGGCTTGGGCCGCCATCTCCTCCTATGTGGAACCACTTGACGCGCTTCGCGCTACGGTTTCTGCCTGGAAGTCGGAGGATCCCAGTTGTGCAGACAGATCCTCTACGGCTGATAACATGTTGCTCCTCCTGGACGTTGATCTTCTGGCGGACACATATCAACCTTGCCGCCCTGCGCGTGCCTTCCCGCAAGATGATGCCCCTGTTTGGACTTGCCCTGGACGTTTGGCCTTCGCCATCAGCGGCACGCCCTGCACTTTCCGTGTAGAGCCGCCGCCCCCCTACGTCCTCCGGCACGATATCCCTACTAGTCTTCGTCTCCGGGAAGCTGTTGCGTACACCACCTGGTTGGAGGCCACTTGTAGGACCGTAGCACACTGTCTCACTGCTGCCGCGAGTCAGCCCTGCCGTTTCGTCTGCCCTGGAGTTCTCTGCGCCTTAGGCCCTGCTAAGGACTGGCTCCTGGCAGCAGGCTTTCAGCCGACGGATTTCGGCTTTCGCACACCGTGCGATTGATGTTTCACTCGAATTTAGATGCATAGGCGAGCGCTCGAACCGAGCTCTACCGCTGCGAATGGAAAAAGCCTTATAACCTATACCGTCAGCCCTGAATGACGCTTTTGCAGGGATCTGCCGGCTTCCTCGATGGGTCGCCGCTGCCAAAGCTTCCGCCAATTTCCAGGCGCCCGAAGGTTAGGGACACCCAAAAGCACTTAAGCATAAGCATTTTATAGGGATATCCCTACCTTATTGGGCTTCATGATAAGGGGATTTATGTGGGATATCCCTATCCTTATTTTTGCTTCTCTGTGTTTTCTTGGGGCCCTGCTAAGGGATTGTGGGTCTCGGGTTCGCGGGTTCCAGAGCAATGCCTTGGGTACGGCCCCCACTCAGTAATAGTTGAATCATATGGGTGGTCGTCAAAATTAGGGTCCCTCTTTGGGGTACCCTAAATATTAGGTGCCGTACTATAATGGGGACCCAAAAGGGACCCCAATTATGACAACCACCCATATTCATAGTATAGATTATAGATGTATTAGGACCTTAATAGTAGCCCTATTAGAGACACTTACTTTATGGGGGGCAGTACCTAGGCAATGCCCTCTTGCCCTTTTCACCTTGGGTTCTTCCGATTAAAACAGAATATTAGGAACAAGGGTACCCTTATCATTAAGGGGTCAGTCAGGAACCTAGGTTCAGGGGTTTGGGGTTTAGGAATTTGGGTTTGGGGCTCAGGGTTTAGGGCCTACTTAAAGGATCATGGGATTTAGTAACTACGGTTATGCTTGGGGTAACTATACTTATAATTACTTATAGCCACAATTAAGGGACTTCTAGCTATAGTTACTAAGTCCCATGATCCTCTAAGTATATTTTAGTACCCTTATAGTATCCCTTATAGTAGCCCCTTTAAAGGAACCCTAGGAACCCTACCTCACTTACTCAGTCCCATGATCCTCCAAGCAGGGTTCAGGGTATGAAGGGCTTTGGGTTGCTAGCTGAGAGCCGGGGCTCGTCGATGCATATCTCCAAGGATAAAGGGAGCCTAAACCCTAAGCCCTAAACCCCACGGTTGATGATAGAATTCCTGCATTACCTTAAGGAACCTAAAGTATGGGAATTATGGTATATTCGTTATTATGGGTAATGCAAGATTTATATCATCAACCGTATTATATAGCCCGTTACAGGGTCGGGATCCCCATTAAGGTTCCCTCCTTCTGCTCTACTTTTCAATATTCACTTCGTAGGGCTTATGGGGTCTTTGCATTTTTCAGCTGCGCTCTGGCAGCATTTTGGTTTAGGCCTTTAGAGTTTAGGGTTTTAGGGGTTTAGGGTTTAGTGTTTTAGGCAGGGGTTTAGGGGTTTAGGGTTTAGGAGTTTATCAGGTGGTTCCAAGAGACTCCAATATCCCTTAATTAAGGAATATTCCTTAAACCATATTGGGATCCTATATTTGAAGGAATATTCCCTAATTAAGGGATATTGGAGTCTCTGGGTTGGTGCATTACAGCAGGCCAGGAGTTTCTGAGTGCATTAAGGCTTTGGCGAGCAGCTTTGGTGTGCTCTGCGCACCAGCGAGCACCCATGATGTTACCGCACCCTGAGCCCGAACCCCTAATCGCGAATTGAACTCAAGAACATCTATTTTTTGGTGATGACCTAAATTCTTTGTTAGTAGGGTTTATAATCAGAACGTACAAAACAGTAGGTCATGGTAGGTTAGGCAAACCGATGCTACACCCTGTTCCTTTATGAAAGGGTTTGCAGGCGGGGTTTCGGCCAAAGCCTGGCTCTGTCTCGTCAGGTCCGGCAAAGCCGCGGCCGAGAAAGGCAAGAAGCAGGCGTTCCCGGTTTGGTGGGTTTCTCACGGGTTGGGAGGGTTTACAGGATTTGGGTTTGGGGTTGACGATGTAAGGGTTTGGGATAATTTCTTAATGGTCTAGGGCTGAAGGTTGCAGCATTTCTTAAGGTTTTTCTTCAAGGATTTCTCCAAATTCGGCTTGAAAGGTTGTAACCACATTCTCAGGAGTTTTAGAGCGGCTTGCAAGTGTTTTTTTTTGTGAGGGTTTCTAGGGATTTATGATGAAACCCTACACCCGCAAGCCGCAAGCGCAAGAGATGCAAGCAGTGAGAGAAGAAAGAGGTCATCTGGACAAAGCAAGAAAGCACTGCTGGCGCAGGTGTGAGACCGTGCCTCTCTTTGTTGCGACATTTGGGATGTAGATGTGCCTGCAATAGGCTTCCCTCAAGGGGTGCTTACAAGGGGTTAGGCTTTAGGTCAGGCTGTAGCATGTCGGGTTCAGCGCTTGGGCGTCAGGGTCACGAAGCTCTGCTTTAGGGTCGAAGTTCAAGAGGTTTCCTTTAAAGAGTATAAGGGTCGAGGTCTTGAGAGTTTCATTTACATAGTACAGTCGGCCGCTCTCTTTATTTAAGGGTTTAACATAGGGGCCTTCGGCCTTAACAAAGCCCATATTGAGGGCCTTAAGCCCTACAAGAAACTTTATAAATTAAACACCCAGTCAGTTGAATGCCTCCACAAACACCCTGCGAAAGCCATGAGTCCCGAGCTCAAAAGCCCTTAAAGACCCCAAACCCTTCAAGCGCCTATAACACCCTGATACAGCATTGTATCACCCCTATGCAGCAATGTAGCACCCCTCTACACCCTAAACCCCTAAACCCCTAAACCCGTAAACCTTAAACGCCTAAACACTACACCCCTAAACCCTAAACCTCGTGTAACCTGACTGCTTCAGGATTCCAATAGGACCGAAACTCCCACGAAGAAGGAGGTCCACCAGAGGCCGAATGCAGGGGTTTACGGCTAAGGGTTTAGGGTCTACTTAAAGGCTCATGGGACTTAGTAACTAGGGTTATTATTGGGGTAACAATACTTGTAACTACTTATAACCCAAATTACTGGGCTTATAACTACAGTTGCTAAGTCGCATGATCCTCCAAGTAGGGTTAAGGATTTCGATTTCATTTGGGGGTTTAGGGGCGGAATCGAAGCTGACGAGTTTTGGAGAAGGCTTTCGAGCTTAGATGTTAGAAGGGGCCCCCACCCTGTAATAGTGGTAAAATAGCAATATAATAGGGCACTAATATAATCCTTATAGTCACTATTACAGGGTGGGGGCCCCTTCTAACTTAGATGGTTCTGCTGTAGTTTTGCAGGGCTTTTACAGTTGATTTTACGTCCATTTTGCAGGGATGTGCGGTGCTTGCTTTGGGTTTCGAGAATATTCAGCCTGCCACCGTGTAGTTGAGGAGTAATGGGCTTCATTCCGACATCAGGGTGGTTGTCGAAATTAGGGCCCTTTTTTGGGTACGCTAAATATAAGGTGCCGTACTCTGTTAGGCTCCAAAAAGGGGCCATGATTTTGACAACCACCCATCAAGGTCGCAGTCCAAGTCTGCACTGGATTTAGGGTTCGGGTTTTGTGTTTAGGGTTCAAGGGTTTCGGGCTTAGGGCTAAGCTGTCAGTCCGGGTCAAGAGAGTGGAAGGGTGGAACAAGCAATGGTGCGCTTTCTTAGGGATCTGGTACAAGTACGGTATAGAACACGAAGTCACCAAAACCCCACTCGAAAATCTAAACCCAAAACCCAAAACCTAAAATGACAACCCGGAGTTCACCAAACCCGAAATAGGGTTTAGGCTTTAAGGTTGCCATTTCTGTTGTTCAGGGGTTTCCTAGACCACCCAACTACCCTCTAATATACGCTAGCTACCCACTATTAAGGACCATGAGGGCTCCATGAAAGGGCCCTTGGGGGGGTCCTGGTTAGGGAGCTTGGGGAGTTTCAGGCCCGTGCGACTAGGGAAGCGAACCGTGTCTAACAACTCTCCACCAATCAACAGCACGAAGAGTTGAAAACCTTAATTAAGGAATGTGCCTTAAATTGTAACGGGATCCCTCATATGATTTAGGGACTTTTCCTTAACCTAAGGGATATTGGGGTCTCTGGGGACCCGAAACCAGCTGAGCCGCACTGGCAGCAAAGACCTGCACTGCATGCCCAGCCCTGATATAGGTGCATTGATAATTTGAAAAGGGTTCGGGGGCAGAGTGCTAGATTGATAAGAAGCCCACAAACACCGTGGTCCCCACAGCCAAGCCCCAACCTTCCTACTTACGTCAAGCCGCAAAACCCAACGCCCTAAACCCCACGTTGATGCCGGCATGAAACACTATTTGGTTTTCACATCTGCATGATTAGCAATGCCACGCACTTATACTGCATCTAAGCCCCAAAAATTTGATCACTATCAACTTCTTGAAAGCTCTACCAAGGCCTATGAACAAGCTCATCAACACCCTGTACAAACGTTTTAAAAGCCGATATACAGTTGTTAGAAACCCAATAAGACCCGCAACAAAGAGCACAGCAAAGCAGATCAACGACGTCTACAACGGCTTCCGGAGCCTCCACTAGCCATGCGAAGTTGTCGCAGCTTGCCCATACGACCTCGAGTGCTAAAGCTCGACAAGCTAAGCTTAAGGTTTGGGGCTTTGGGGCTTTCGGGCTTCGGGGTTTTGGTTTTTTTGGGGTTTTGAGGTTTTGGGGTTTTGGGCTTTGGGGGTTTGGGATTTAGGGGTTCAGGGTTTAATAACCCTAAACCCTAAACCCTAAACCCTAAACCCTAAAGCCTAAACCCTAAACCCTAAACCCTAAACCCTAAACCCTAAACCCTAAACTTTAAGGTTCACGCAGGGTTACCGGGTTGAGGGTGTGGTGTTAGGGGCTTCGGGTCCCAAAGCTGCTCTCAGTCTTTTGGCTAAGTCCCTTTTAAAGGGATCTATAGGGGGTTCTTTTTAAGGGATCTATAGGGGTTCCTTTAAAGGGATCTATAGGGGTTCCTTCAAAGGGATCTAGAAGGGGTTCCTTTGAGAAATTTTGAGAGCATCCCACAAGCTAAGCCCTGAACCCTAAACCCCGATCCCTTCCCGGATTTCCGGCAGGATCTAGAAAGTAGATCCCCTAATTTGGGGCCCTACACTACTAA